AGCGGCCAAGTCCACGCTCGAGCGGGGACCCCTGTTTCAGAAATTTTGTAAAGGTGTTTTGTGTTTCATTTTCCGTTCTCTTTCATTTCTAAACACTCTTAGGCATGCATTGAGCATCATAAATGAGTTAAAAAGATAAGAAAGAAGTCTAAGAGGGATGTACGAATTAAGAACGGATTGAATTGTTTGTGACCCATTGTGTTCATGAAATGTGTAGGGTTGAGCTCCAGGGCAAACTTGCCAGTAGAATACTGTGAGTAATACTTAATGAAGATTATTTGAAGTATGCTATTTGTCCAATTGCTTATTTCCCTATAAGTCTTATAAGTTTGTTAATTTGAATTGTCGACAAATGTTTATTAGGCCAATGAATGGGCCAGAGGCCGTCGAATATGAATGAATGGGCCAATGAATGGGCCAGAGGCCGTTGGATATAAATGCATGGACCAATGAATGGGCTAGAGGCCGTCGGATATGAATGAATGGGCCAGAGGCCGTTGGATATGAATGAATGGGCCAGAGGCTGTTGGATACGAATGAATGGGCCAATAAATGGGCCAGAGGCCGTTGGATATGAATGAATTGGGCTCGAGGCCGTTCACTTAAGAACAAAGTGGGCCAGAGGTCGTTTGATATGTTCGGGCTTGAATCGCCTAATGTACTGAATAATACACGAAGTGGAATACTAAATGGGTCCAAGGCCGTTTGATATATGTGAATCTCATTCGTGTACTTTCTTTATTTGATATTTTTCACTAGGCTTTCGCTCACGCTCATTCATGTGTACGTAGGTGAGCCAAGGGATGTCCAAACCCAGCCTCGGTGAAATATGTGAGAAATAGTCAAGGTTTTGAAGAGTTAGCCCAACGTCTCACGCACGAGACTTATCTTCGCCTCTTTTGTTCTTTTGTTATAATTTTGTTATGTTGGCGAAAACATTGGATCACTTTTGTATATAAACTTTGGGTTTGACTGACTTAGACTTGAATGATCCAGTATGTGCAGTTTATATGTTAACTTTCCTTTGATGTGAGTTATTAACAAATACTTATGTGAAATGTTATGATGTGCATATAAGCACAACTCTATAGACAAGGTTTTAAATTTGCTTCTGTTTGGCCCCTTTACTCTGATGAGTCATGTCTTATATGGTTTGAGGCCGTAGGTAATCACTTGATTACTGGTCGGTTATGTCCTTAACCCATAGGGGCGGGTTCGGGTCATGACACTTCCAATTGTTCTGATCTCCTATAGGTGAGCATATAGTCCTTTGTTCCTTGAAGATATCGCATAACCTTCTTCATTACTTTCCAACGTTCCATTCCAGGATTACTTTGGAATCTTCCCAACATTCTAACTGCAAAACTAATATCTGGCCTGGTACATGTATAGGTATAGGTATACATGAAGCTCCCTACAACTGATGCATATGAAATGTCCTTCATTTGTTTTTTTTCCAAGTCATTCCTTGGACACTATTTTTTACTTAATTTATCACCTTTCATGATGGGTGCATCACTGGCTGAACAACACTGCATATTGAATCTCTCCAAAACACAATCAATATATCCTTTTTGAGATAGTCCTAGCAATCCTCAAGATCGATCCCTAAAGATCTCTGTGCCAATAACATAGTTTGCCTTACCCGTATCGACCATTTTAAAGTTCTTGGAAAGATATTCCTTGGTTTCATGCAATAAGCCAAGGTCATTACTAGCTAACAAAATGTCATCCACATATAGCACCAAAATAATGAACTTACTTCCACTAACCTTCAGATATATGCATTGATCAATTGTATTTTCCTTAAATCTAAATGAGGTAATGGTATCATTAAACCTTAAATACTATTGCCTGGAAGCTTGTTTAAGGCCATATATGGACTTCTTTAATTTGCAAGCTAAATAATCTTTACATTTCTTTGCAAATCCTTCTGGTTGCTTTATATCTAAATTCCCATTTAAAAAAGCAATTTTCACATCCATTTGATGCAACTCTAAGACATAATGAGCTACCAATGCTAGGATGATTCTAAGCGAGTCCTTCTTCGATACTGGAGAGAAGGTCTGTGTATAGTCTATGCTTTCTTTTTTGAGTAAAACCCTTGGCAACAAGTCTGGCTTTAAATCATTCAATATTGCCTTTTGCGTCGCACTTGGTCTTGAAGACCCATTTATACCCGACCTTTTTATAATTATTAGGCAATTTGACGAGATCCCAAACACTATTCTGCTCTATGGATTTTAACTCTTCATTTATAGCATTGACCAATTTAGTAGAATCATCACTATTTATGGCTTATGAAAATGAGACTAGATCTTTGTTAATCACAATATCAAAATCAGATTCCTATAGATACACCATGTAATCATCTAGAATGGCAGGCTTTTTTTCCCTTTGAGATCATCTCAGAACTGCCAGTTGTGGTGGTTCTGCAATATTTTTAATGGTGGTATCTTCATGAAGTGGTGAAACATGAGATGGTGAAAGATTTTCTTTATGTTGTTCGTTTCCCTCAGTCTGTGGAATAGTTTGAGGAATAATAATTTTTCGATAATGGTCAAATGTTGGCACATCCACCATAATTTCCTCAAAATTCACCACTCGTGTTTTCTCACTCACACTAATTTCACCATTCTCTAGAAATCTAGCATTACCAGTGAGAGGGTAATTTATGATCTGGGGTTTTGCCGAGATATTGACCGATCAGGTTGAGAGCCCAGCAGCGCATTGGGCCGAGATGATCCACTGTTCGCCCAGAGAAGGGGAGCCAAAACTTGGGCCGGGCAGAGTTTGGACCGAGTGTGTGCCACCCCGGACCGTACAGAAATTGCTCGACCGGGAAGCGACCGGTCAGACCGGGATGTTCGGTCCGAGGATGGTCGAAGCCAGGCATGCTGAGAGACCGGCGCCCGGAAAGGCGCGGTTAGCCGAGGTAGTTGATTGACTGGCAGGAAGGCCAACCGAAGGAGGTGCCCGGGCTAGGCTTTGCCGAGACGCCGCCTAGCCCGGTCATCCACGTGTTTGTCCGGCTGGGCGCATGACATGGCCGAGGAAGAGCAGCTCGGCTGCCGAGCTCCAGCTGCGAAGTCAGGCAGTTGAGGTTAGGTGGTGAATGGCATGGTTTATGCTGACAGATGGGATAGTAGAGCCACGTGTCAGGAGATGACTGGGAGTGGATATGGGGCTCAGAAGGTATATAAGCATGTCTGCGCCCCCCATACGCAAAACACGAACACATCTGTAAGGATTTCTTACACTCAAACACTCTCTCCCTTCTCTCTATCCATCCTAAGGTGTGTGCTAATTTGACCGTCGGAGGGTGTTTCCGGCCACACACCGCCGGGTAGCTCACCGATATTTGCTCGTAGGTGATCGGGTATCGACGGAGCTTGGAAGAAAGGAATACGGGCACGCCGGAATATTTGCTCCCCGTACAACCAGTCTCCACTATCCTCGTACTGTGATTAGGACAATAAAATTTGTACCATTTAGACTTGTCTGGATAACTAATGAAATATCCAGATATTATTATTGAGTCCAACTTTTTCTCTTGTGGGTTAAAGATTCTTACCTCTGCTGGACAACCCTAAATATGTAAGTGTCTCAAACTAGGTTTCCTACCAGTCCACAACTCAAAATGAGTTGTTAGGACCGCCTTACTAGGAACCCTATTTAAGATATGTGTTGCAGTCTTTAAAGCTTCACTCCACAGTGAAATGGGTACAATTGAGTAACTTAACATACTCCTAACCATATTTTTAAGTGTACAATTATGCCTTTCAGCAACTCTATTTTGCTGTGGCGTACTAGGCATTGTATATTGAGCACGAATGCCTTTCTTTTTTAAGAATTTGGCAAATGGGCTAAGATTTTGGCCTGACTCATCATATTTACTATAATACTCACCGCCCCTTTCTGATCTCACTATCTCACTATTTTAACATTTCTATCTAATTGTCTCTCGACTTCAATTATGTATACCTCAAGGATGTCAACAGCCTGAGACTTTTCATGAATTAGATACACATATCCATAACGTGAGAAGTCATCTATAAATGTGATAAAATATTTTTCACCACTAAGATATGGGATGTTGAGTGGCCCGCAAGTATCTGTATGAATTATCTCAAGAAGCTCATTACTTTTTGTGGCACCTTTTTTGGTGTGTTTGGTTTGCTTTCCTTTAATGCAATCCACACATATCTCAAAATCAGTGAAGTCTATGTTTTCCAAAATCTTATTCTTCACCAATTTTTCAATTCTATTTCTAGAGATATGCCCCAACCGTCTATGCCACAAGATTAAGGATTTTTCATTAATTAGACCACGTTTTAAACCAATATTCAAATGTAGAGTTACTAATGATTGTGCAAACTCATGATTTAAGGTAATTTTATATAAACCATCACATAAATTACCAGAATCAATCATTATTGAATTAAACATTAAATTAAGTTTTCCGCAACTAAATAAAACTAAATATCCAACATGATCTAATTTGGATAACAAAACTAAATTCCTAGAAATTGAAGGAACATAAAAAGTGTCTTCTAGATCCATTTGATGACCTGTCTCTAAGATCAGTCGATAAGTTCCTATAGCTACGACTTCAGCTTTGAGACGGTTCTCCACATAGACAAATGTTTCACTTTTCTTCAGTTTCTTGGTTGAGAAGTATCCCTGCATGTCATTTGTAATATGGGTCGTGGCCCCAGAGTCAATCCACAAAGTATTAGAAGGTACTTCAGCAAGATTTGATTCATAACAAGCAAAATAAAATTTCTTACCTTTCTTTTCGAACCAAGCCTTTCCTTGCTGCAGTCTTTCTTCACATGTCCCTTTTTGCCACAAACGTAGCACTTGACAGTGAAACCATTTTGAGCCTAATTTTCTTCCCTAGGTTCCTTCTTTTTCTTGGGTGAATTTTTCTTTGATTTTACAAACTTACCCTTCTTTTTCTTTAGAGCTCCATGAGTTACAGCCAATGCAGTTTGACATCATTCCTCCCTCAACCTCACTTCCTCCTGAACACATACATTAGTCAGCTTATTCAAATTCCACTTATCTTTATTGGTGTTATAGTGAATTTTGAATGCCCTGAACTGTGATGGAAGTGAGTTGAGAATAAACTGCACGAGGAAAGTTTCATCAACTTGCATCCGTAACGTTTTAAGCTTTGCAGCTTTGTCAACCATGTTGAGGTTGTGATCCTGAACTCCTCGATTGCCATCATATTTCATTGTTCTCAATTCAGCCATAATAGTGCCAGCAAGTGACTTGTCAGCAGATCTAAATCGATCTTTAACAACCTTTAAGTATTCCAATGCATTAAGAATTTGAGGTAATGTGATCTTGATGTTATTTGCAATGGTCATCTTCATGAACATCAAACTGAGTCTATTGGACCTTTTCCAAGATTCAGAAAGGGCAACTTGTGTAATGCCCCCAAAATTATGCAATAAATACAACTCATAAGCGGAAGAATAACAAAAATAATATACATTCATTCATCAAAGTTCAGAGTTCGTTTACAAGGGTTAACACATGCGATGCACATTCAGCAATGTTCATCTTGAATCTATAGCATGTGTTACAATGTTGAGAGAAATAAAACTAAACATATAGTCAGATGCCCTATAGGCTTACCTCTTTCCAAGTACCTGCTTGATTACACAAAAGTGAGCCTAGCTCAATACAATTAAAGCCCTTGGCTATACAAAAGAATAAAAACAAAATAAAGAAGCTCTTGCTTCCCAAAAGTCCCTCCAAGCTATTGTCTTGGCGGAGGCATGTCACTAGCACTTGAAAATGGTTTTCCTAAATAGGGTGAGCCAAAGCCTAGCAGGAATTATCTAACACAATATATGGGGTTTAACAAAGATATAAGTATAATGTGCATATACAATGCCTGTGACAAAACATTCACATTTTTAATAATGATAAAGTACCAAGTTCATATCTTATTCCATTTTCCTTCAATTCATTTCAATCCATGAGCTAATTTCATTATCTTTCATCAATCCAACCACAACTCAGTGGTTATTTATTCAACACAATTACCATACAAACACTTCAATATGTCATTTTACAAAAATTTTGTCCACGGGATCGATACCCATGTATACACAAGATTTCAGGACTTACACCTTAGACACTCTGCCCAACTTAATTTTCAATGGAGTCCATCACCAATCTCCTCCCAAATAATAGAGTACATCCCCTTTCTCCCCCTAAACATCATACATATACAATGTATTTAAAACATAGTCATATTCAATGACAATTAACAATGGATTAGTTTTAATTCACCTAATCCTCATGCAATTTCTACAACAATCATTGTTATTATCCACTGATAACCCAATACAGTTATTTCTAAATAGATATTCAATCCCAAGGTAGGTAATTTATTCAAAATTTTCAAAGGTGAGAGGTATTACATATCCAACTCCACCATCTATTTCAATATTTGTCCAATTTCATGTTTACCAATTTCATATATTTATACAAAATAAATATTATAATCATTTTAAGGCAAACTCCCCCTTTTCAAATATCAACCCAAGTACCAAAATTAATAATTTTGACACAAAACAACTTCATTTTCAAACTCCATAACCATTTATTTTCCATTCATCACCCCTTTTTTTATTTCACACCCAAATCCTAGGTTTGTTCAAATTACTCCCAAATTCCAACATTGTTACACAACAACAAATAACTAAGCTAAAAATCATATAAAAGTGTAGAAAAATCCCTACCTCAAAGTTTAGAAGACCAAAACAACAAAGGAGAAACTTTAAAGACTTCTAAACCAACTTCTACTCAGATTGAAACGGAGCTCTTAAGACGCTCTACCGCTTTCTCAAAGGTACTAGGGTGAAGATCCCAATGGATCTAAGCGAAATAGTAGAGAGAAGATGAGTTTTAGAGAGAGGAACTCAAGATCTAGGTTTTTGGAAAGTTTTAGAGAGAGAGAGGAATGAAAAAGTTATGAAAAAAAGTTATCTTCACGGACTGTTATATACGCAGTTCGCTTGAGCGTGAAAAGTGACGCTCGAGTGTCAGACACAATGTTCTGCTCGAGCGCAAGAAGTGACGCTTAAGCGTAGAATACACACTTTCAGAAGTTTTGCAGACGAAGAACATCGCTCGAGCGTCCGCCCGCTCGAGCGTAGGAAACGCAACTCGGGCATAGAATACACTCTTCTAGCATTTGTAGGTCTGCAAAAATACTGAGAGCTTGTAAATCCCGCTCGTGCGGATGAGCAAAAATCTGGGCAACATAGATTTGAAAAATCAAGCAACCAACTTGTTTCAAACATACAACTACAATTCAAATGACCAATCCAAGGAACAACAAGGGGAAAAAGAGATGGACAACAACATTGAACCATGAAATCTGAGTCCTAAACATAATAAAATGTCGGGTCAAGACCAGAGTCACTATAACTTGTTCTGCAGTACTATATTCTTTAATGTCTGCAGGTTTATCTTCAAGCAATGCCATATCGAGGTCCAACACACCCAATGTAAACTGAACATGTTCATACCATTCCGAAAAATTTGAGCCAGTAAGTAGAGGGACGCCCGATGCAAGAGAGTGCAATGAGGTGGGAACTATCACTCAAATAAGATAGAACAATACACATATTAAAGTTTTGAGAATTATAATGATGAACTATTGATATCACATAAGTCTTTCTTTTGGGCAAAACTTAGGTATATCTATTGTCTTCTTGTCAAGAATCACTTATGTAGGTCTAAAATAATTTATACAACTTTTCAATTAGTCATGTTACTTTTGGGTATTCAATTCTAATCTGTCAAATTACATAAGTTACATTACCCTACTCAGTTTATAATTATTTGAAAGTGACTCTTCTTTGGGCTAGTCTCAATCTCTTAATTATAACTGCAATTTGAGAATATTATCAACCTTAATGTTACCCTTTTAACAATTCTTTTATGTAATTTTATATTCATAAGTTCTACAAATCTATGCTACTTTGGCAGCTACTAAATTAGTAAACCTTATGAGTATGGAACTAACTAATAATATTCTCTATTCATTAATTTGAGTTATTTAACTATTATTAATTCAATCACTATTTTTTATGATTTCTAGAATTTCTTTTATGTGATTGCAATTACCAATATGATAATAATAATAACTCTAGATGAACATAACAAATATATATATATATATATATAAATCAAATTATGCAATATGACAATATGAATATCTCATATAATGGTTAATAAGAATTGCACTTAATATGAATTAACCATTTCAATATTTAATATTTAATGTCATAAAATTACATCATGATATCAACTTTAAATCATGCAAATATATAAATATTAACAATAATAGACAATAAGTGTACAGAATTAGGCAAAAACATAATTCTCTAACGTGATACAATCAAATAAATATATTTATTTAATAAACCGAATGATTTAACAAAATTTTAAAATTATTTTTAATCTATGCACTTATCATAACGGCAAGCAATACACTCAATTCAATATCATATTATGATGATTATAAAAATTATTATTACTAAAATTAATAATAAATCAAAACATGCATATTACACATTTATCATGCAATCTTTGAACTTGGCGATGGCATCGACTTTATGAGCAGCATCAATGGCTGCACCTAATAGGTGGTCAGTAGTACAAGCCACGTCTTTGCACTCTCGGTGCTGAATGGCATGTAAAGATCATTTAAAAAACGACATTGATAATAAAAACAAAAGTACGTTTTATGAATAATTATTAATAATATTTATAAATATATTATTATTTCAAATTGTATTGATTCACAAAATCAGGTTATGATATCACATGTCCTTAATATTCATAAATACATTATTATTTTAATTATTAAATTTTATCTTAATTATTGCCTTTATCTAATTATAAAATTCAAATAAAATAAAATATATAAACAATATGTAAACTATTGAGTCACACTAAAAAAAAAAAAAAATCAACAGGTACATCTCTTTTTCTTCATTGCCGTCATTGATGTCGTAGTTGGAATTAAGATAGAAGATGAAGAGAGGGCTCGTCCTAGGTAAGGGTGAGAGTAGGGAAGTGGATGAAAGAATAGTTAGGGAGTAGAGAGGGAAACGGTAGCAATAAGGTAAACAGAAGAGAGAGAGAAGGAGAGAGAAGTGTACAGCTCAAAGTGACAAGGGGGAGAGTTCGTGAAAAGAATTTTAAGGTTATGATAAACTTAACTCTTTGTAGAGATCTGAAGTAATTAATGTTTATATATAGGCTGTTTAATTTAGTATAACTTTTACTTATAATTTATTAAATAAAAATAATTTAAATAGACAATTTTTAAATATTATCTATAAATCAAGAAAGAATACATAAAACTTAGGGTAAATTACATTAATAATTCTTATAATTTGGGGCTCGTATCACTCTGGTCTCAGACTTTTCAATTGTGACACATTTGACCCTGAATTTTGAATTTTGTTCCAAATAAGAACAATTGAAGATATCATTCCTTAATTTCAAGGGTAAAATCGTCAATTTGATAAAATATAAATTAATTTGACAAAAATAAATTGCAAATTAAATTTTTAAAAATTGTTTCTACCCTCCAAAGATAAAATTATGTAAAATTGATAAATATTTTAGACATTTATTTATTTATTTGTTTTACCAAATTAATTTTTATTATATATTTAGATGATGATCATATAATGGGTAGTTGTTAAGTTTTTAATGTGAAATCGATACATTTAATATATAAAACATTTTTAGTTTTGAATTTTTTGATTTAATGGATTGGTAATAATGATATCAAAGATAATGATATCAAAGTTGTCGTCATATTTGACTTTTGAAAAAATAAAAACTAATTTAAAAAACATTTTTAGTTTTGAATTTTTTGATTTAATGGATTGGTAATTGAGAGGGTAATTTTTGGTAAAAATTGGGCCGAGCTATGTGATAGGCTTCGTGGCCCAAAGTGCCAAGGACTTGGTGAAAAGGCCGCAAGATTACTCTGGCCCAGGAGAGGTATGGTTACTCCAGCCCATGAGAGACAGGGTTACTCCGGCCGAGGAGAGGCAAAGCTACTCCGGCATAAGAGGGACAAAGTTACTTCGGCACAGTGACTGTAGAGGTACTTCGGTCCGAAAGCAACTTGGAGTTGTGCCGGTCAAAATTTAAAAATATTTTTTTGACATTTATTTTTATCAAATTAATTTATATTTTATTAAATTAACGATTTTACCCTTAAAAAATCTAACGATATCTTCAATTGTCCTTATTTAGAACAAGATTTAAAATTTAAGATCAAATATATCATAATTAAAAAATGAAAGACTAAAATGACATAAATTCCAAACTCTAAAGACCGTCAGTATAATTCACCTTACAACTTATACTTTATAATTTTTAATTTTAAACTTATTATAGACTGCTTACTAGTAATATGCTTTGCAATATTGCAAGGTCATTACACAAAACCATTACACAAACACACTGTACGGCGTTGTTGCACCACTATTTTTTTTATTGATAAATTACAAATACTTCATTTGGGATTTAATTAAAATATGAATTGTCTTTTGTGATTTTGTAAATTACATTTCATTTATGAGATTTCTAATTTCATAATGAATCGCTCTTTTTTATTAATAAATTATCAAGTTAATTAAATTTTTTTAATGATGTTATAAATATATTTTAATTAATAATTTGAATAATTTTATTATTGTATAAAAGATTAATTATAAATTTTATTTTTTTAATTAATTTTGTTAAATAAAAATTTTTAATAAAGGAGTATTTATAATTTTTCAAACTACAAAGAATAATTTAAATTTTAAACAACAAAACTCATGGTGTATTTGTAAATTATCCTTTTTTTTATAAAAAAAAATATATATATATATAACTAACCATGGTTAAGGAGAATGGTCTACACAATTAATAATATTGAAGGAAAAAAATTGGCAAAACTAACGACGTTCAAGATTCCGTCAAACAGGCTAACGCCGTGGATTGGAAGATAGTGTTCAAGTGGGACACCGTTACGGCGGACCTGACGATTTGACAGAGGAGAGATCTGGACCGTCTAATGCATGAGGGACAGTTGGTGATGAACGGCTGTGCTTTAACGATAGGGTGGAACGGAAGCGGGAGGGTATAAAACAGGAGTTTGCAATGAAGAGAGAGACAGAGAGAGCATTTCGTTGTGTCAGGAAACTCCTTTTATGTCTCTGTTTTTCTCTCTCAATTTTCTTTCCAGTTTCTCCGAAAATTACAGAAAACAGAGAGATTTTCATGGTAATTCGATGTGATTTAGTAGCTAAAATGTTGAACTCGCTCTTCTGTTAGAAGATCTGGAGCTCGCGATTGATAGTCTAGAGGTTTGTAAATTGTTGTCTGACTTCGATTTTCTATCTTTTTTATGTGTTTGGTTCTCTGAATATACTGTTTTTTTTGGGTTTACAGATACATTTGAAGTGGTGTGCTTGCGACGATTGGTTTGAAGATGAGAGGTCCGTAATTGAGGGTGTAGTTCGATTTGTATTGCTTTTTCTGTGATTATTTATATAAAAATGACTTGTGTTTGTGTTCGATTTTGTTCTACAGATACATTTAAATAGGTTCGAAGGGATTTCGAGAAGGATTTGAAGTGGATTTGGCTTTGATTTCTCTACTTCTTCGTGAAGATTTGTTTGTTTCACTTCCATATTACAGAGAAAAGGCTTGTTCAGAGGTCTGTAATCGGGACAAATTCCTATTTTTTTACCATCTTTTGATTATCAATCCTCGTAATTAACTCAATTTTTGTTGGACAGGTACATTTCCAGGAGATGTTGAAGCAGTTTTTAGATGACATCTGAACTAGGAGATCAGTTTCTGGGTTTGTGAGATCGGAATCGAATATGAATCCCGACGATTCAAGCTTTGAAATGTTCTCGATTTCTTAGAAATCAGCTTATCAATTTGAATATTCATAATCTCAAGACCCAAAAAATCGAAGCTTCCTCTGAATTCACTTTTTAAATCTGCTATCAATTTCGCAATATTCCTTTAATTCATTCACGCTGTTGTGAAGACAAATCCAAGTATAAAAAGGTGTTTGAAAAAATCAGAATAAAATGGGAAAATCAAGTTCGATTTTGCAATTTAGCTGATGATTTGATGTTCTCCGCTATTGCAGTTTCAGAGAATTTGGAATCAGTTATTTTGAAGAAGGTTAATATCTGAATGACCTTGTCATGTTTCTTCAGCACTTTCATGACCCGATGGTTTTTGCTTTCGATTCTCTGTGCCCTGCAGTGCTCCGAAACAATCGGTTCTGTGTTTTGTAATTCGGTTGAGACAAACAGAGATCATCTTTTTCTTCAAGCAAGTTGAAGCTTTCAGGTAATGCGAGAATGGTCCGTGGTGTCACATATGTCGTTGATTTTGCATCTTGTTTTTCTGTTTCAGGTATAGCTGTTTCAAAATTTGATTTTCATTTTGTAATGTTTTTGGGTTCGTTGTTGGCTTAATTTTTTTGGATTCCTATCTATGTTGTTGGGAATAGTAAATTTCTCACTTTCCTCCCCTGACCCAGAATCTGAGATTTTCCCCAATCTTCTCCTCCTCCTCCTTTGTTTGGCAGCCGAGAAAATAATGCTTACTGAAGATAAGAGATTGAGATTTGAATTTATTTCAAAAATGGAATTTCTGTTTCTTTCCCATTTTTGTCACTCATCAGTTCCTCAATCTCAACGCTGAAGAATAAACTAAAATTATCTATAGATCTTCTGCAAACAAACCCATATTTAGAACGTCAGACCATTCCTAAAATTGAATATTTCTATCATCTTTTGTTTGAATTGCAGAGAGAGATTTATCCTTAATCCATATCTTTCTTGGCTTTTCATTTGTTCAGAAGTTGGGATTTGTTAACCATAGTTAAGATGGGACAACTAACCTGGGTTAAATGTGACAGGTGTACCAGAGAGAGAGAGACAAGAAGTGATGGAGAAGAATAGTATTAACAACCACCAACACCAACACCGCAATCGAGAGAGAATCGGAGTGCTGGGTCAAGTTGGCGATCATCATGATGATGGGTTGTTGAGAACAACAACAACAACACAGACGCCTGAGACGCGATCGTCGGACTTTGTGTTGCAGTGGGGGAATCGGAAACGGCTCAGGTGTATGAAAATCCAGGTCAAGGTTAACAACACCACCGACTCATCTTCCGCTGCCGTACCGGTCCATCGAACCACGGTTCGAGTCGACCGCCGGGTCATCAGATCCGATACAAACAACAACAATAATAGAGAAACTAGTTCAAATCACCCATCCACCACCGCCAGCAACGGTTATTTGAATCTCCGGCAACGTCCTCCGTCCCCTTCTCATCGCATTCTCAGGTACAACTCCCTGCCAATGTCTTTTTTTTTTGGGGGTAAATCCTGGGATTTATGGAAAATGCACTCATTCCTATATCTTTTGACGTAATTACAACAATTTCCTTTTTACCTTATCCTTTGTTTGAAAATGATTTTTTTTTAACTTTTTAATTTTTTTTATAATTATTTTAGTTTAAGATTAAAAAATCTTATTTAAAATATTTTTTTTTATTTTTATAAAAAAATTAAAATGATTATAATTTAACGTGACATTTTATTTTATTTAATTAAAGTAACCAATTTTATTGACTAAATTGGAAACGATCCTTAAAAGGGTTAAAGACTATGGTATACAGTGTGTACTATAAATTAAAAAAAAAAAAAAAAACTATAATTTCATATTCTTTAATGCTGTGTTTGGTTTGGTTAGGGAATTTGGAGAGAGATTTGAAAAGGAAAAGGAAAAATATGTGTGAAATTAGGTAAAATATAAGCATATTTTATTCACATTTCACCTACTTTTTTCATTTCCGTTTTCAAATCCTTCCTCAAATCCTCCAACCAAACATAGCATAAGTCGACTACACATAAAAAAATTATAACTAAACATATCAAATTATGTCATAATTAAAGAAAAAAAATTAATCCTAACTAAAATATAAAAATGGTTAAGTAAGAGTATATACAGTCGTAAGTATGCATAATAGAATCCTCCTCAAGGCTATGATAGGTAAATGTTGAAATTAATAAAGATAAAACATTTTTGATAGCCTGATTTTTATGTTCATTGGAATAACGAATGAAAAATGGTTTAATTATTGTGTGAATTATAAGTTTTATGTGAGATTAATATAATTATATTAAAAGTCTATAATTAATTATATCTTTTTTTAAATCTCAAGAGGGAGTGTAATTTACTTTCTTTTTATTTATTTATTTTTTATTTTCATTGAAGGTCCGCCCTTTGTTTGGTGTTTCGTACATATTTTGACGAGCTAAATGTTAATAATTTAGAATTTTAAGAGATTTGTCGAGTGATAAAAACTTGATAATTAAGTCTCAAGTTTAAGTCATTCTAAAAATCTCTAAAGGTTTGTGCAGTCTTGTCATAACCATGAGACTTGTCAAGGTGTATTCAAATTGGCTGAACACTTATTTATAAAATAAAATAAAAAAATTAATAATTCATGTTATACTCATTTTTATTTTTGTTTTTAATTTTTTATTTATCACTTGGTATGATATTAGTAAATACAAATATAATAAAGAAATGTGATGGTTGCATTATCGTGTGATACCACTTTCTAGTGTAAAAGTTGTGAGTTTTTTTTTTTTTGTTTCTCTGTTCTCCCAACTACAACTAGCATCCTACCTAGGTAGTATGCATATTTGTGTGGAAAAAATAAAAAAAATAAAAAGTAAAAAAAAATAGAAGTTGAAAACATGCCTCCTATCTTTTTCAAAAATTGGTTTTTTAAATTTATTTTTTAAAAAAATGCTAATTACCACTAAAGTATGGGTAAAATGTATAGAAATTTGAGAAAGTGTGCACACCGAGTTCTGTGGAAATAAAGTTGACTGTGGCATTTGAACAATTTAGAAATGAGAAAAGTGAGACGAATTTGAAAATGGTATTTATATTTGATTGTGTTGTATACTTTAGGGGACTTTAAAATTCAGCAGTAATTTTAATAAAAAAAAAAACCATAAAAAATATAGTATTTTAATTATTAAAATTCATAAACTTTATCACTGATTTTTAATTTTTAGCATGAAATTCCTTATTTAAAATTAGGGGTTGTTTGGGGTGTCCTAAATAAGTGCATTTTTTGTCTTTTTGGACTAAAAAATTGAGGAAAAAAATATGGATGTTTGGGTTAATTTTTTGACTTTTTATGAAAAAATGTGTATTAAAAAATTGTATGTAATAAAAAATTGTAAAAATTGATTTGTAAGGAAAAATTTGAATTGGGAGTTGTGCAGCCGTAATTGTTGACCTTTGGTGAATAGTGTTAACTTTTTAATTTTTTGAATAATTTTTTGACTTTTTAACTTTTTCTTATCTTCCCAAACTTGGCCTTAGTCTGAAATAAATATATTGTATATATATATTTCGAACTAATCTAATATCTATCATATTAGTTTTCTAAGTCTTATTTCATATATAAAATTTTTATTAATACTTGTCATACTATGTTGCATATATTTTTTTTTTGTTTATATAATAATTGTATTATGTAAATATTCTTGACATATATAAAGGGAAAATGTCTCGTAGCTCAAATTTTGTGGCTCAAAAGTGGCTCAAATGGCCAAAACGACGTCGTTTTGAGTACAGAACAACATAAAAATGGCCAAAACGACGTCGTTTTGGCCATTTGAGCCACTTTTGAGCCACAAAATTTGAGCTACGTAGCATTGTCGTATATAAAGTAGTTTAAATACTCCTATAATTGTATATGCTTTCTATTTAAATCAGAGGTCAGACTATTTATTTGGCCCGTCAAGCCCAAAGCCGACCCCTTGGCTGAGCCTTATTAGAGTTTTAGGATGGGTTAAAACTCATTCCAATTTTAAATTACTTTCTTTATATTTCTTTATATGCATGTATAATATATAAACATGATAACTGGTTGGTTGAGACTTTAGGTCATGTATATATAAACATGATAACTGATTGGTTGAGACTTTAGGTCATGTTTGTTTTGTGGTTTGAGTGGTCGGATTGGACTATCATGGCTATGAGTTCTACCCACAGCGTGTTTGGTAGTAAAATGGAAGGGCGGATTGAGAGTCTAAGGGGCTTAATAATTTCTCTCAATAGGGGGATTAACTTGGTTGGGTAGAGGGTGGATTTAGAAAAATAGTGCGCGAATTGAGTCTATTCGGTCAAGAACAGTGCATTTTTTTTTAACCAAGTGCACCGGTTTGTTTTAATATTTTTTTTATAAAAAATAATTTAAAAATCCCATTACTATCTCTCACACCATCATCAAAACAAACATACTTTTATTTAATCTCTCCATTAACAATCTCCACGTTAACAATCTCTTCATTAACTATTCTCTCACTAACAATACCCCGCTAACTATCTCTCACATTATCATAAAAATAAACACACTTTTACTTAATCCACCCACTAACAATCTCCACATTAATAATCTTTTACTATTCTCTCAATAACAATCTCATTCAATATAATCCGTCAAACAAACTTGGCTGTTGTAGCTCATTTATTTGTATTTTTTTAAAAATTGGAAATCAATGAGCAGAAGTTAAAATAATTGCAAAAGTATGGAGGTGCAGGATGGGTCTGTGTTTTTGTATAAAGTAGAAACTGTGGTCTTACTCACTAAGGTTGGTTTGCGAATTGATTTTTGATTTTTTATATTAAAAAAAAAAGTGTGAAAAAAAAAAAGAAAGAAGAATGGATTGAACTTTTTGTATTGATTTTTTTGACTAATTTTAAGGGGAGGCTAGCAGTTTAGGAAAAAAAAAAATTACAAACACGTAGGTATAAGTGTGTCTGTAGTGGGATACAAATGAAAGGTTATGACCCCTTTATGTATTGATAATTTTTTTCTTTAACTCTCACCTACATGTAATTGTCCCTGATTTTAACATTTTCCTATACATGGCCTAAAACACACACATCTCATTTGCACCTTCATATTTTTACAATTACTTCAACTTTTTAATACTGATTTGCAATATTTTTTAGGTTCAAATCTTTAGACTGACTTTTCAGAATATAACTAGTGATTTTTTTGCCAATGATTTACGCAAAAATGAAGCAACATCATTGAAAATCTTTAGATTGACTTATCACTAGCCCAATATTGGCTATGGGCTGAGTTTACATTTTTGACGTAGTGAGCCATGACTGGGCTGAGCTGAGACCCGAGCTTAAAAGATTGAGCCCGGCCTAATTGAGAGGCCTAATCACTGATCATAATAATTGAGTTAGTTTAGATAATTTTAATAATAATCTGAAATGTCATATATGATGTCCACCCTAATATGAAGTTAGATTGGGAATATTTAGATTATCGAAATAAAATTTATGATGAATCTTTCAAGTTTCACACAAATTTAAATTTGGAATAATGCAATATGTATCAATTAATATACTAACTAGTGTACCAATTGATGATGTGATATAATTTAAGATTTTTTAATATTTATAATGCTATTAATGAGTGAGGTCAATAATAATTTTTATAACTAGTGTTAATATACTAGTTAGTACACTATTTGGTATATATAGCACTATCGTTAAATTTGAGAGAAATTTATATTGGTAAAGTTTTCATGCTTCAATGCATTCAAGTCTCATTTATTTTTCTTTTTCAGTGTGATTGAGACCCCTTCTCAACACCACTTCCACCCCCACACACACGTGGGGATTAGTGATTGGAAAAAAAAATAAAATAAAATAATAAAAAAAAAAAATTAACCAATCAAAAGCTAGAAGGGGTCGTGGGGGTCACCATTTGTGGGGATCCGGATCATTTTTCTTTTTCAAAGCAATTACATATCTGGGTAATGATACATCCCACTAAAAGTGGTGCTCTAAAGCACCACTAATGAGTTGGCAAGCACTTTAATCAAAAAAAAAAAAAAAAAAAGACACAAACAGTGGGTCCCGTCCACTGCCACATCATTAGTGGTGCTTTTAGAGCACCACTTTTAGTGTTCTCAAGCATTATTGTTACATATCTATAGGTGGACCACGTTTGAATTAGTGAAATCATGTCCTGTCTAACTAATACTTGCTAACAGTATTTTATGGGGCGGTCGGTCAACATGAAATGGATCACAGCATTACCTCCATTTATATTGAAAATTTACCATTGAATTTTTATATTAGAAATTAGAGTAACGTTAGGTATTATAAAAAAAATATTATAAAAATGATCATAAAAGATTTTTCACTATCAGATTACACATACAAGAAAACACAACATACTAATAGGATAAAAATTTTCATGAAGTATTTCATAATATTTTTTTCACGATCCCTAATATTATTCTAAAAATTACCATCGACAAATTTAAAGTTAATGAAATATTAATTACAAGAATAATTATATTTTATAGATTTATTTTTTGAGTAATTGTGATGGGTCTGTAATAATGTATATGAAGTGCCAAAAAGAAAAAAAAAATTTATTGACTCTCTAATTTATTTGTGTCACATTACCTTTCTATCTTGTAATTTTTTTTAAACTGTAAAAGCACAATCAATTGAGTGGTTTAAAAGTGATTTAAGGGTTTAAATAACATTTAAACTACGATTATTGTATTAAAAATTATTAAAAAAAAAGAAAAAAGAAAAAGGCATCATTACAAATTATTAATACATAAAATCCTAGTATTGTAGATTTATGATTTTTCAAAAACGCCATCTTGATGACAGCTCCAACTCCTTTCCATATATGGAGACCCCACATGGAAAACCTTTTCCCTATCCAGACTCCAGTAGTAGACCGTCCGATTCAGCTGTGGATTAGGAAATCTGGTCCACAACCTTTTTCTGTCGCTGTTTTATCCATGGTTCTGACACGTATACCTAAACCGACGGCTTAGATCTTGACAGCAACCATACGACCCCCCAATTTATTTTAATTTTTTTTCTTCTTTCCATTGTATTCCCAGCTTTGCACGTTAGACAGATTGATGAATCGCACGCCTTTTGTCCCAAATATCTCCCCACTTTCATATATTTCGCCTAATCTTCCTTACATTAAAAACCCAGAAACAAAACCAACCACCAACTTCCCCAAAACAACCCTCCATCTTCAAAGATTCAGAGCGATCAATCTAGATCACCCCAAGGTTATATCAGTAATTTCACCACCATCGATCAATTTTTAATTATTTATTATGTTTGTATGTGTTGATGATATATGTTTTTTTGTTTTGTTTTGTTTTTTTCTATTGGGTTGTTAGGAATTCAGAGAGTTTGATAGCCATGAAGGGACAGAGCAACGGGGTGAAGGGGGTAACATCTCCGGACAGAGGGGGTGCGCAGGATAAGATGGGTAGTGTGCTTCATAATAATAGTAATAATAATATTACTGTCGCTACCACCACCACTACCAATAACAATAATAATAATAATAATAATAATAATAATAATAATACTAATGATAATGGTGGTCGTGGTGGTGGTAGTGGGGTTTGGGAGGGGGCGCAGGATAGCAAGAAGGGAGGGAATTCGTCGGGGAGTGATGGGATGCCGGTGGTGTGGCCGCCGAAGTTTGTGATCGGACTAACAAACAAGGAGAAAGAGGAGGATTTCTTTGCATTCAAGGGTTCTAAGCTTCCTCAGAGACCCAAGAAGCGTGCCAAATTCATTCAACGCACCCTCAATGTATGAACTCTCTCTCTCTCCTTCTCTCTTGAAAAAAACATTATTCATCACATTTGTTTGTTTTATTTTATTTATTTATTTTTGACGTTTTAAGAAGTGAAACTATTTAGGTAAGGTGAAATTGGAAAGCTACAGTTGGTTAGAAAATTTTGGCTATTTTTGAAAAAAGAAAAAGAATACACAATATTCAGTTCATCTCACGACGGAGCATCCACTCACATTGTGAATTTTTTAATTTTGTAGAAAGCTGTGATTAAATTTGCTTAGTTTGATGAATATATTAATCTCGTTTGCTTTGATGCACAGCCTATTGCTGGTAAAAGATAGCAATTTTTTATTTTTTTTATTACAATTGACAAGAGATTATTTATAATATTAGGAGAACTCAATAAAAAGATACTATAATGAGAAAGAAACACTCAGTCAACCTAAGAAACTACTCAGAAATTAGAATACTGTATCGGGATGGAAGTGTATATCAACTAAACCAGTCGTAAAATGTAGTGAGTTTTATTTATTTATTTATTTATTTTTATGTCAATTGATAGAAGAATAACTACAAATAAATAATTAGTCACAATAATTAACAAAATTAACAAAATTTAACAATCAATTACTAGTTAAAGTACAATCCCTGTAATGGATATCAAATTTCTCTCTTGTGAGGTTTTCACACTACAAATACAAAGGGTGTTATTATAATCATTAGGTCACATGTCCTAGTTGTAAAATGTAGCAAGTTAAAAGCCCTTAATTATGGAGTAAAACGAAACAATCAGAAAAGGATGAGAAGTGGTGTGATAAATTTGAGATTTAAACATAATATAAAGTACAGATTATATTAATCTCTTCTGAGATTTGGGGGAAACATATATAAGTCTTACGGTTTTACTATAATTACATTGGGTTATTTGAAGTTTTAATTTACGTAATCCTTTGTCATTTTTTTTTTATTAATAATTAGTTAGTTATAGAAATAGAAAAATAATGTCATCTATTTTACATAGAACTATTTATATTTTGTTAGTTATTCTTGTGTTTTCACACAATGTTCATTAGTTTCGATTCTTTTATCCTTACTTAAAGAGATAATTATATCAAAATTATAGAATTAACTTCTTCTTCTTATTTTTAAATTATGGGAGGTTAATGTAATTTATCATACTTTATAGCGAAAATTGTGAAATTACACCTCCCCCCCAAAAAAAAAACTGGAAAAATAAAAAGAAACCTAAATAAATAATTTTGTTAAATTAAAATTTTCAAATTTTGTTTTACTTTCTTTGGTGGATTTGGTGGGACTATGGAATTTATTTTTGGATTTGGGCTATATTTTTCTATTTTGTGTAAATTACAAATTTACCGCTTAAAGTTTTTAAAATACGAACTATTTCTTGTGTTTTAAAACTTACATCTTGTTCTTTCAAGTTTGTAATCGTATAGCAAATGATATCTTTTATTAATAAATTATAAAATCAATTAACTATTTTTAATAATGTTAAAATTTTATTTTAATTAATAATTCAAGTGATTTTATTGTTGTATAGAAGAGTAGTTAGAAATTTTATTTTTCTATTAATTCTGTTAAATAAAATTTTTTGATTTTGTGATATTTGTATTTTAAGTAAATTTTGAAAAAAAAAATTATTTTTATTTTTGTCTTTTGATTTATTTATTTATATTTATTTTTGCACATTGTAACAATTCATGGGATGTAAACTTACACGTGTCAGTCGACATGTGGATTTTTATAGTGATATAAGCCTAAAACTCGTGGTAGATCCAGTTTTGTTGTGATGATCTGTACAGTGTACCCAAACAGGACATAACATAATTGAATTAAGAGTAATGAGTCCGTTCTAATATTTAAGCTCTAAAAGGAGTTTTACACATGTGACAAAAAAAAAACAACAAAAAAACAAACACAGGCACATACCTCATATCACAGGTGGGCCCCACCTATTTAGAGTGTCCCTACAGGTCTCTTTGTAGAGTTCTCAATCTTTATCCTTGAATTAATTTTACATTTATTTTTACTTCTTGTGTTGATCTGTTGATACGATAAATGATGTTAGTTGCTTTGAACAAACTAGAACCACAATAGCGACTGACAAATCACAAACGGACACCTTACCCATTTAATTTAAGGTACTGTTTGGATTGGATTATAGGTTTGAGTGTGATGATATTTTCCTTTCCCATGCCCCACTATGTTTAACATGTTATTAAACCAGTTTAATTATTGAATTGCTGCACCTGTTATTGCTTCCAAAGCAGCTTTCAAGATAATGGCCAGTGACAATTATTGAAGCTGAGAAAGCCATTTTTCTTTTTCTTATTTTATTTTTTTAGGAATATTTGATTTTTCTTCGTATTTCTTTTTGGTGATAATTGTTAACTTGAGCATGCTAATTTCATTTTTTTTTTTTTTTTGGGTTGGTTAGTTGGTAAGCCCAGGAGCGTGGTTATGTGATCTAACTTTAGAACGATATGAAGTTAGGGAGAAAAAGATCTCCAAAAAGGTACTTACTTGATATTCATTATGAGCAAATTTATATACGCATAATTAAATTATTAAAATTTATAAAACAATACACACGATATAAAACAATTGCAAAAATAAAAATTTACTTTTAATTTTCTGTTTTATTAAACATCAGTGTGCTTATTATATGGTTATTTTATACCCATATTGGACCGATGCAGCGACCAAGAGGGCTAAGAGCTATGGGGAACAGCATGGAGTCGGACTCAGAATAGAAGAGAGAGAGAGAGAGAGAGAGAGATAGAGAGAGCTTGTGGGACAAGACAACAATGGGTCATTGTGTTGTTGAGTGAGTGTTTTGTTGTCTGCAAGAAAGGTGAGCTGAATATAACAATTGAGGAGGATGATGATCGAAGTGTAGTTATTTTTGACGGATATGTGATAATATTTAGCATTGAAATATGTATTTTAGTCACCTTCCATCTTTAGAAAAAATTAGAGTAAATTACACTTTATTTTTATTTTTATGTTTGGTTAATTTTTTCATTTTGGTCGTAATTTTTTTTTTCTTCTTATTTTGACTCTTTATGTTTTAAGTTTTTTTTTTCTAATTTACTTTTAAAATTAATTTCTGTTCAAAATCATATAAAAAATACTGCGTTAGTTATATATGACATAACAAATATATGAGTATACTAGTGGTTGAGTTTGTATAAGGCCATCTCTAACGGTTCGTTAAACCTTGCATCAGATTTAAAATTTAGTGAAAAAGTCACTTTTTGGAGCTCCAATGGTTTCAGTAAATTGGTATCAAATTGCGAAAACATCAAAGGTTTCACCAAACTGAGAACGGCTTGCTCTTTTCACCAATTCACTGTGTATAGCCGTTAAAGTAGAAATTTGTGAAAATTTTACACTAAGTGGTCGACCACCAGGTTGACCAACCGGTCGACCAGCTCATGCAAAAATTGGCCAGCGAACTGATTCAAATGGTTCAAATTACTGGTTCAAACGGTTCAAAAAAAATTTATAAAAAAAAAAAGATTGGTCTTACCGGTCGATCAACCAACCGGTGTTTGGTTAATTTTTATTTTTACACTAAGTGGTCGACCACCAGGTTGACCAACCGGTCGACCAGCTCATGCAAAAATTGGCCAGCGAACTGATTCAAATGGTTCAAATTACTGGTTCAAACGGTTCAAAAAAAATTTATAAAAAAAAAAAGATTGGTCTTACCGGTCGATCAACCAACCGGTCGATCATTTCCTTTTTGATGCACAGTTGGAGCAAACTATATCAAATTGAGAAAATTGATTTTTTTTTACTCAAATTTGATGAAAAGTTTTGATTCACCGTTGGAGATATTCTAAGAGGCATGAGTTATATTTATTCTAAGAGGCATGAGTTATATATAATAAAATATTTTTACATTACGTGGCTATCAATGTCTCATAAGTTAGTTTTTAGAATAAATTAAGAAAAGTTTAAAACATAAAAAGTGAGTGGGTGAGGAAAAAAAAAATTGAGGACCGAAGTGCAAAAATAGCTAAACAAGATGGGGACAAAGTGTAATTTATTTTAAAAAATTATTAATTAATTAGAAATATAGTTGACTTTATTTAGGCCCCGTTTGGTGTAACTGTTAAAATAACTTATAGATTATAGCTTAACAGATTATAGATTATGACTTTAATCAGAAGTTGTAAATCTGTTTGGTGTAACTGTTAGATTATAAATTTAAGTTGCTGAGTAGTGTTTGTTAAATAAGCTGTGAAATAGCTTTTTCAATTAATTTTTATTTTTTGTTTGTCTACATTTCTCATAAAAAAAAAAATAATAATCTATAGTCCATTTGAGTCTTTTTCTATTTTTAAAAAAATAAAAAATAAAAAAATTTAAGAGTATAACCATAAATTAACATGTCCACAGCAGAAGCTGATAATCAGAAGCAGGGGTGAGCAGTTTCTCAGAATCAGCTTTTTTGAGTTAAAATAAACTGTTAGAATCAGAAGTTGTTTGAAATAAATTTAACCAAACAGTTCAAAATAACTTTTTCAAAGCTAAAAGTTATAAGTTGGTTCTGAAAAGCTGAAACAAACACCCCTTTAGTTGTCATATGATGCATCACACATATTTTTTTGAATATATTAAATGTTTAACAAATGTGAATGTGTTACGTTAAGTGATAAAACATTAATAAACAAAATTCCTAAGGGATATTAGTGGGTGAGAAATGTAATTTGCAAAACAAAAATTTATTAAAAATTTAGATGGTGGAGCAGTTGTGTTGTTCTCTTCTCCGCACATAACAACTTTGCTACATATTCTTATGTAATTATAATCTTTTTTTACTAATTATACATATAAGTGTGAGAGGCACATTTGTGAGTAGATGACAAAAAAACTTGACTCAATGGGTTCTTGATCCTCTCTAGCTCTAATAAAATGTGTTTGAGAGTTTTTAAATGAGGTAGGCTTGGGTTTAGGGGCAAGGATAAAAAACAAGATAGAGTTTGGGTCGATTGTAGGGAAGGATAACCTCGATCTGGTGATGTATATTATTAAAATATGTAATTTAGAAAAAAAAACATGTTTTCATTATTGTTTAATGATGTAAAATGATTTTGAAAATATTTTTCTTTCTATTTTATGTCTTCTAGATGATACATTTTTTCTCTTGCTCCTTTTACTTTGCAATTCCACTACGATCAATGTCAAACACTGTTTGTTTAAAATCAAATTATTAAAATTTAATATTAAAAATATAAGTTATAAAGTTAAACTCGACAGATAGGCTGAAGTAAGATTATACTAAGGTCCTACTTGGCAAGTGAGTTTTAGGTTGTTTTTTTAACTAAAATTCATAAAAAGACAAAATAAATTAAAATAGTTAATAAGATATAATGTCATATCAAATCTATAATTATTTCATTTTTTTTCTTATAAACATCACATGAAATTACAAAAAAAATCAATCATCTTTCTAAACACAAAAATTTTAATTTGCTAAGTCAAATACTAAAATAACAACTTCTCACACCCATAAGGATGGGACAAGGGCAGGAAAGGTATCTAGCAAATAAAATGAAGCATGCGAGTAATATTCATTAATGTTATGTTTGGTCGAAGGATTTGAGAAAGAATTTTAAAAGAAAAATAGAAAAAAGTAGGTAAAATGTAAATAGAATATACGTATATTTTACCTAATTTTACACATTTTTTTTCTTTTTCTTTCTAAATTTCTCCTTAAATCCCTCAATCAATCACAATATAAAGGAGAGTAGTTAGGTCCCACTCCATAATCATCCATACACAAGGCCGCATAAGTGTATAGAAAGTCAAAAAAAGTTAATAACCTAAGGTCCTGTTTGTTTACCGTATATAAAGAGCGGATGTAAAGGTGGAATCGGATATAATATGAGGTGAGTCTGACATATTTTCTTGTCTTTCTATATCTCGTATTTAGTTATTCCAAATGTATAGAATCCAAATAGTATATGATTCAAAAAAGGTTATGCAAGCAATTCCAACCCCTTATATTGTATATCCTCCACAGTCGGATATAGAGAATCTTTCCTCTAAAGGTAAAAAAACAATTACTCTCTATCTTATCCGATTCTATGTCCTATCTTAACCAAATATAATATAAGTGACAGCACATTATACATATCCATCTCATATCTTACAATATATTATATCTCATCTTTATCCTTAGGTATTATATATATCTTTCTCCAACCCTTATATTCAATCTGGAATCTGTATATTTTCCTTTTGCTCATGCAACATGTGAATTCAACTAAATATATTTACAAATAAATACAACTTTTTTTTTTGATGGATACAAATAAATACAACTTGATGTGTTTTCTCCAGTATTTGTGGGCTTTACTCAAATTGAAAGCAAAGAATTATCCAGAGAATATATTAGGAAGGATAGTTCAATCTCACTCCAATCTCCTCACCCCAAAAATAAAAAAAAATACTACGAGACATTTTCCTATAATATAAGTGACAGCACATTATACATAATCCATCTCATATCTTACAAAATATTATATCTCATCTTTATCCTTAGGTATTATATATATCTTTCTCAAACCCTTATATTCAATCTGGAATCTCTATATTTTCCTTTTGCTCATGCAACATGTGAATTCAACTAAATATATTTACAAATAAATACAACTTTTTTTTTTTGATGGATACAAATAAATACAACTTGATGTGTTTTCTCCAGTATTTGTGGGCTTTACTCAAATTGAAAGCAAAGAATTATCCAGAGAATATATTAGGAAGGATAGTTCAATCTCACTCCAATCTCCTCACCCCAAAAATAAAAAAAAATAAAAAAAATCTCACCCCAATCTCAACAAGTGGGACAGAAAGGAAGAGCAGATAGTATTATAAAAAAGGTTGTGATTATTTAGTTGATTTAATTTTTTTCACAGTTAATATACGTGGAAGGTTTTTCAAAATAAATTGTTCAAATTATCGAACAAGATCTGTGAGCCAGAATATAACAGTCAAATTTAAATTTGAATTTGAAAAAATCTAATCCAAAAAAATAAAGGTTTTCATCGTTTTAAATTGAGAATCCAAATATAAAAAAGGCATACTTTTTTAAACTCAACGAAAAACTTAGCTCTATTAATCAAATGAGTACAAAAATTTAACTCAAATTTATTCATTTAAAAAATGAGCTAAGATGTAAGTTCAGGCTATTTATGAATTGAAAATCGATTTCCTTCCAACCCTACCTAGAAATGTCAAAATTTTACAACAGAAAGTGATGGAATAGCAAAGTTCTGAAGCAACCATAATTCTAAACCAATTTATGAGTTGTAAATTGTATGTGTTTGAATCAAAACTAGTTCAATTAGCTTTCATAAGAAGGTTAGTGGTTCAAATCTTCTAACTACCATGTAAGTCTTACTTCTTGTGTATTTATTGAGACTTTCTTCTGACTTTAATTGTTTCTTTGTGTTGATTAAAACTATTTATTTAATTTTTATCATTATAATTATAATTTATTAAATTTTATTGTTATATAAATAAATAAATAATAAAGAAAAATGCAAGTCCTTTTCAATAATGAATATAAAGTTGATGGTTTTACTTCTTCAAGTAGAGCATGTGAACACCATCATTAGCCCCACCATACATTTTGCATTTAATTGCGTCCATTGTGGAAGTCACCACTCCCACAATGAAATGCTGTGGAATTCATACAAGATCAAGAACAGTACTTAGGCCATGTTTGATAAACTTAGTAGAATAGAATGTGATAAATTATTTCATTAGAAATTAATCACTTAGTTATTAAAATAAATAAATATATATATTGTTGAGTCTTGGTAAGAATTATTCCTAAGATACAAAAAAATAAAAAATAAAAACTATGACATTTTTTTTACAGAATTCGATATACTTCATATTGCAATCAATACACTTTTACTTTTTCACCTATTTTCAAAATATTTTTTTATTTCAATCTCAATATTAAAGAATGCTCTTGAAATAATCG